TGGGATTGGGAAGCCTGGATCAGGGTCTTCAGAAGGAATGGGATTGGGAAACCTGGACCAGGGTCTGCAGAGAGACTGGGATTGGAAAAGATGGATCAGGGTCGGCAGAGGGAGTGGGATTGGGAAGCCTGGATCAGGGTCAAAAGATGTACTGGGATTGGGAAGCCTGGACCAGGGTCAGCAGAGGGACTGGGATTGGGAAGCCTGGACCAGGGTCAGCAGAGGGACTGGGATTGGGAAGACTGGACCAGGGTAAGAAGAGGGACTGGGGTTGGGAAACTCGGATCAGGGTCTTCAATTGGACCGGGAGTATAAAAACACTGTTGCGCTGATGGGCTGCATGAACACCTCGGGACAGCAGGGTCCCAGCCCGTGAAGTGGGTCGCAGAGATTGTCCAGGGGTTATTATAATTAATGCACCATGGACTCATTGCCTGGAGGGGGGGCAACTATCGGACTATAGGTTTCTATCCTCCAGCTGGGGGGGTACTTTTCCTCTCCCCTGTGTCCACATGGTGAGTTATTACTGTACAACATTGCAATTGCATTACTTCACTATTTAATCTACAGCAATAATGTTGCTGTATACTCCTGTAAAAGAGCTCTGAGGCAAACTGTTGTGCAGGCTGCTACAGCAAATCGATTGATTGATTGTGTATGGAGTCTGCTTGCAGCGTGAGAGTGAAGTGGGCGGCAGTGAAGCCGCCTGCACCACTACCTGTGACCTCCCAGCTTTCCACTACTTCCTGTTAACTCTTGCATTGCTTTCCACTACGATTTCTGACTCTCTGGTTCGACCTACTTGCCATAAAGAAGGTGCTCGGGCCTGTAGGGTTTTTACTGCCCTGCGCTCTCTAACTTTTCTTTTGTCGGTGTGTTGCTCTGTGTGTGTGTGTGTGTGTGTGTGTGCTTGTTGGTGTTTTCTTCACCTTGCCGTACCCACTTGTCCATGTCCTGTAAAAGGGCATCTGTGACACAGTTCGATCAGAATGCTAACTGCCTGCTGGGCAGGAGTTGGTCTCTTGTGTATTTTACAAGGATCAAGTTTAAACAAGGTCTGGTCTCCTCCCCCCTTGGTTTGATTGGCTGCTCTGGACTGGCCACTAAGTTCGATTGGCTGCTCTGAGCTGTTTCTTTTGTAAGGTTTGATCGGCTTCTCTGGACTCCCTTCTATAGTGTGACCCCTGATTCCTTCGAGAAAATTCACAGGTCTAACCACCACGTTAGCTGTCTGTGAGCACAAGTGGCCGGAGTTTGTCTCTCTCTCTCTTATGGCCAGCTCCATTTAGGAGACAGCACAGATAAGAACTGCACCATATGATGCACCAACAAACCATGTTTTCAGTCAGTGGCCAAACCTGAAACTAGTTGCTAACATGAACCCTAAACTTGGATATGATGCCTGTCAGATTCTTGCACAGCAGGTGGATTTTCCGCTTTGTGCACATGGCACCTGCAATTCATGGTGTGCACAGAATCTCTGTAGCAGAGCCAGTTAGCACATGCAGCTTTGTGTCAGTATGGAGCTCTCGCAGAAAGACAGATTGTTTCCTTCACTGTGTGGCTCCAGGCCTCTTAGGAACACATTGCAATTCTGGGGCTCCTTTCTCTCTCTCTCTGTCATCCCCCCACCCTCCCTGAAGAACAAGGCCTCTTTCATGGGGAAACAAACAGCCCTTTAAGAGCTCAGACGCACATCCCCATGTGACCCCCCCCAACCCTGCCCCTTCAAGCTCGGATTAGTGCAGATCTGCTATTGTTCCTTCTTCCCTTGGGGGGGAGGGAGTTGATAATCACTTTCTCTCCTCTTTCCTTCTCCATCTTTCTCTCTGCCCCATTGCCTCCATGGCCACTCCACTTATCTGTTCTGTCCTCAAAGGCTTCTGCCTGTTTTCCTGTTTTTTTTTCCCTTTCGTCCTGTTCTGTCGCCGCTTATAGCCCGCCCGGGTACTCCTCTTCTGCCAGCGAGGGTCGTGCCAGGGTCCCCGGGCGTCACATCCAAGGGCTTAGTCTTAAACCTGGCGGATAAACTGCTTCAGCGCGATGGTGCCATTAAGAAACGGGCACTCTGCATCTTGTGGGGACTTGCGCGGAAAAAAATAAGGGAACAACATGGTTACAAATAGGGGATGGAATCCACAATCACATAAGCGGCTTTTTCCCCCCCTTAAATCCAGTGCTAATTGGCCCAAACCCCCAACCCCTTCTGCTTTTGATGATCGCGTGATTGCAAAACTCATGTTTCACACTCGGCAGGTTGAATGGCCAGTCCTGTAGGGCCGCATGCTCTGCTCTTAATGAGCCGACTGAGCTGCTGCTTAGATGACCTAGACAGATTTACAGAAGCACTTATCCTAGGGGCTTTGGTAGTTGATGCTTGAAAGGGATCTAGAAAATCTGGATTCTTGTTCTTCGAGGGTGTGGAGTTCAGCATCTGTGGTCGTTGGCAGTGTTTGACGGGTTTCCTGTCGTGATCCTGGGGGACTCCAGTGTCCGAAGGCTGTTTTTTTTTTAATTCCAGCTCAGCTCTTGATGCTTGGGTTATTGGGACCTGCTTAACTTCCTCCAGGAAGTTTCCCAGCGCTGGCTCTTTAAAAGGCCTAGGAAACCGGCCCTCCAGGACGAGGACTGGACACACCTGTCATAGAGGATCGAGAAACGTCAAGTACTATGGCTAAAGCATCAGCTACCTTAGAAGATTCTGCAGGTGCTTTTCCCCCATTGGGGAAACTTGGAAAAAAATAAGAGGTTGCAAACAACAGGAGATTGTTCAACTCATCTTGTTCGTTTGGTTGCTGATCAGATCATTGAACCGAGGATCTTGCACATCCAGTTATTCAGGGATCTCGGGACATCAACAATAACAGCAAGGTGGGGGGGTAGCCTGTTACAATCTCCCACCACTCTTGTGCCTCTTCCTGGGACCCAAGCCCCACTACACACACGGTCTTCCACCCAAAGCCCCGAAAGGCTTAAAGCTAATTTCAGCCCAGGCCAAGCTGCAGGGTGTCATAGCTGTAGTCAATAGAAATACTGTAGCTGTGTATACCGTGCAGAGACATGCAGAGAAAGTGCAAAGAAATACAGCGAATGCGAAGTGTTGTATTATAGGGGAAGGAGATGAGTCAGTGGACGATCGCTATCAAAGTACTGAGGGTGAGAACGGAGGTGGGGAGCTGAGGGGCTGGTTTATCTAACTTTCAGCGTTGGAGTAGAAAGAGCAGGAAGCAGTGGAGCTGGGAGATGTGCTTTATCACGGGGAAGCTGCAGCCTTGGACCGATCAGATAGCCAGCCTTCTGATTACAGACTGCAAACTTGTGCAATGTGTAGGGGCTGCCCCTTGTACCGTAGAGTGTACCGTATGACTGCGCACTTCCTCACCCTCGACTGTTTGTGTTGCCTTGTCTCCTCCAGGGGGGATCCCAGACTTGTGAAGCTCAACGTGGGGATAACCTGTGGCTACCTCTTGTACGGTGAGCTGTGCTCTGTTCCCCGGTCCATCAACGCAACCCCCCAGGAATGGGAAGGAAGCGTTTCCCGTTACGGATCTGGGACTGTGTCCTCACAAACCACATGCATAAGACACCCCTGCCTTCCCCCGTGGTCCTAACAGGATTAAAGCCGTGTTTCCACTCCCTGGCTTTCTCCTCACCCTGCTATGTATCCCTTCCCATGACCCTTTGCCCTGACGCAAGCCCATTGAGCATTGCCTTCATCCTTTGTTTGAAATAACACTGCTTCAAAAAGCCAGATCCGATTGCAAGTTGTGCCTTATCTCACCTCCAATCCCACAGCCGAAAAACCAGTTTGAGCATTCTGTGGTTAAAGGGTGTTGAGAAACAACTTGCTTTTAGCCCTTTTCAGGCCGATTATTGCCAATAAAGAGGAAAGAGAAAGTTAAACCAGCCAGCCAACTCTCATCTGGAGAAGAGATTTTTAGTGCATTCACATCCACTGACGGTTGCATAAGGCTGAGCAAAGAATAGTTACACCCCATGAGTTAGAGTACTGCCTGGCTTCTGATCCCAGGTGCCTGGCTGTGTTGTACCAAAGCTTGCAAATGCATATATCTGTATACTGTACCCTGCAGACGTGCGATCCGGTGTGAAGTGGATCAAGGCAGAAAATACAAGCTCTCCCCAAAATAGATTTGTTGCCATGCAGTTTTGTGCATGGTCCACCAGAGGGAGACAGATGCCTTAGTGAAAACTAGCTCCAGAGTGGCAAAGTCCAGTCCTGGAAATTCACAGGTCTGCAGGTTTTCCAGTAACCTTTACACCCCTCAGTTGTTAAAAGACTGCAAGACAGTCAATTGATCTAAGTGTTCATTCAGTTAAGAAGCTGCAGGCACAGATAGAAATCAGAAACGCCCTGTGGCTCTTGAGAAACTGCCAATCAGTTTCTCAGGAGCATTTCTCTGCACTCTTGTGCTGCATAATGTATTTTAGTGTGACCCTGTTGGGCTGTGGAAGTTTTGGCCATCACTAACATTGCTTTTTCCCTGTTGCAGATCTGGTGCTGTTGGCGTGCAACTGGAACACCATAGGAGACAGCTTTTTCGTGTGCCACCACTTGGCGGCGCTCTATGCCTATGGATATGTGCTGGTAAGGAAAGAGAAAAGCACCTACTGATCAGATCACCTCGATTGATTAATCGTATACCTCGCATTTTAATACTGGAGGATATGCAGCACTGTCCTGGAATCTCTAGTGTGGGAGAAGCACTAAGTATTCTTTGTTATAAACACAACGATTATGTACTGGGTTTGGGCTGGCGAGGCTGGGACAGCGAATGTGCCCACCCCTCTGCTCTGATGCCAGCTCTCCTGTTCCAGAGCCGAGGACTTCTGCCATATTTTGCCAATTTCCGTCTACTCTCTGAGCTGTCCACCCCCTTTGTCAACCAGAGGTAAGTAGAGCTTTTCCTCTTGTTGTGGGATATTGTTTGTGTCTGTTTTGTTGTCCGTGACGAGCTGTGTTCTGCCTTGCGTTGTCTGTGATTGTGTTTGTGCCAGTGTCATGTCGTATTGTGTTTGTGCAATCACAGAACACCGCCAGTCTCGGTACCGCTGCTGGGTGGTTTCCTATCTTATCTGTCACAGTTCCCGGCGAAAACTGAGGGGAAAATGCCAGACCAGAAGGGACGCCTCGGGTCTTAAAGTTGATGTTTCTGCTCTCTGTCTCCCCCCCTAGGTGGTTTTTCGAGGCCCTCTCGTACCCGCGCTCCGACCAGCGTGTGGTGCTGAATGGGGTGGCCATGTCCATTGTGTTCTTCCTGGTGAGGATCGCCGTCATCCCCTCGTACTACAGCCGGGTCCTCTCCACCGTGGGCACGACGGCCTTCGAGCGCCTGGGCCTAGGGGCGCAGGTGGCCTGGATCCTGTCCAGCGTCAGCCTGGACATCCTCAACGCCATCTGGATGTACCGGATCTTGCGGGGGTGCTACCGCGTACTGACAGGCAGCCGCAGGAAAGCCAAACTGCCAGCCAATGTCTCTAACAACCACAGAGACTAAGGGCGGCCCGCCCCTCTTCCCCCTCCACCTCAGGACACCTCAGATCCCTGCCGCCCTGGCCGTTTGATCCGCATCAGGAGTCTCGCCCATGAGCCTGCAGCATCTTTCTGAACATTTCTCAGGATTTTGTACCACACCAAGAGGAAGTCTGAATAGGAAGGTTAGAGTGGGGGGGTTAAAATGTGAAATATACCCCTTTTTACCTGTTGGCATCTGTGCCTGGTGTCGTGCCAGAAAACTGCTGCTGTTGAAAAGCTGACATGGGTCAAACACACCATGCAGCGAGAGTCTTTTTATTTTGGGGCACCGCTCATCCCACTGGTCCACCCCCCCCCCACGGCTCGTTTCAGCACTCCTCAAACCTGCCTCGAGAGCTGGGCACAAGTGGATCTCGCACACAGTCCATCCCCCTGTTTAGACACTGAGCTGCCTGTCTACCTGTCCCAGGGTTCCTGTCACCTCACTGCCACTGTCCTGGACAGGCAGGTGCCCCTCCCCGTTCTCCCCTCGTGTTTTCAGGAAGATCAGGAATACCTCACTCTCGTCACTGAACGCAGAGATGGAAATGCTGAAACGACACCGGGCACGAAACGGAGCAGGCTCAAACACTGCCAAATCTAGTTGCCTGTTCCTTGTAGGTTCCAGAGGGAATGTGAATTCCTTGGACTCGGCGCCCTTGTACAGAAATCATCCCTCTCCTCCCACCCTTGTGTTGTTTTGTTCATGATGGTTAGCAGGATGTCTCAATGATAAGCCCTCTTCCGCCACTCCTTTCTTTCCCAAGTGTGGAGTGGTCAGTGGCTTCCAGTTGTGTGTCAGTGTTGAAAAACATTGGTACAAGATTTATTTTGTTTTGAGCCTTTAGACAGCACCCTCTGGTGGCACCATAGAGCAGGGAGCTTGTTGATTTTTTCAGGTGAAAGCACCTCGGTGCTTTGTCAGCTGATCCTGGGGAAAGGGCACAGGCACCCCGAGAAAGGTGACTTAGTATCTTTATAAATGCAAAACACTGATGTCAGCCTGTCGTCATTTCCGATATTATAGGTACGAAGCAGCTGGTGTTATCTACCAGGGCTTGATTTTCTTTCTGGATTCTCCAGACCCCATGCAGTTGGCTTGATGTGACTTAGAATCCCGATCACGTCAAACTCCCAGCATACCTGCCAGTCCTAAATTACAAACCCCAGCACATCAATGCAACCTGTGGTTATGAGTGAAAAGTACATCAGGTTGAGTGTGATTTTGGTGGTTGTTGGCATGTTGAGACAATGGGAGTATTATCCGATGGCATTTATTACATTTCCCCAGTGGATGAAGCAATTTCCGAATTTCCCGTCTCCGGAGGTATCTGTGTGCACCGCGAGCCAGGTGGGAGTTTTGATGCAGAAATAAAGGATGCTTGGAATGAACAGGCTCCTATTTTCCAGTGAATTTTGCTTTTACTTTTCCCCAATTTTACTTATTCCCATTTTATGCCAGATGAAAGCAGGCAGCTGGATGCCTTTCAGTTTTGGAGCAGGAGTTTTGCGTTTCCGAACAAAAGCAGCCGAAGATGTGGACGGCTCTTGCTTGAACAAGGGAACCGTGTTGTTGGTATCAAGCGGTGAAGGGCCAGGGCCTGGTCCGTCTTGGCCCAGGGATCCGTGAGGCCGGTGACTGGCTTTAAAGCTGCCTCCTTGCTGTGGGTGCGCTCACTGGGGCCTCAGGCTACAGCAGGCGAAACAGGCTGACGAAGTCGTCACGGGCTGAGAGCAGAGATGCAAGGTGAGACGCATCACAAACGAATGCCATCGTGGGCTACTGCAGGCTCACGCAAAAGGGTAATGTCTGACTCACTCCTGTGGGGACGGGCACAGGAAAGCTTAAAACTAACAGCTGGCGGTTGGAAAGCAGGGTGCAGCGGGTGAAAATGAACTGTTGCTTATTAAAATCAGATCGAAATAGCGAAAAAACCCCAAACAAACCTCTCTTCTCAGTTGTGCATCTTTGTCCTGATTTGATAATACTGGGGATGTATGAATCGGTGCAGAAAACGTCCTCTTGCCCACTCACTGGTCAAAAGAGAAGAGTCTTCCCATGAGCCAGCAGGCCAGTGGGTAGGCCCTCTCAGGGCCGGGCTGATAGATGGATAGATAGATACTTTATTGATCCCGTGAGGGAAATTGCAGTGCAACAGCAGCTTAACACACACAACACAGCCACAGTGTAACGAATTATATACTAATAGTACAATACATACAATACAATACAAGAGTTACATGCCCGAGTTTCATGGGAGGCAGGTTTCCCTCGCCTGCCCTGGCTAGGCTCACCCAGATCTCACAACCTCGTGGAAAGCAGGTGCAGTTCGATTCCCCTCATCACACCTTCCACACGAGGCTGTCCGCCACGAAAGACACGGGGGCAGATGGAGTCATCCATCCAGCCATCCGTCTTCTAACTGCTGTACCCAGGGCAGGGTCATGGGGGAGCTGGAGCCTATCCCAGCAAGCAGCGGGCACAAGGCAGGGCCAGCAGTCTCTCAGAGGGCACACACTGACACAGACATGGATCAGACTTTGTTGATCCCGAAGGGAAATCGAGGTGTTACAGCAGCCCATCCCGAGACAAGCAAAAACGGACATCACAATAGATGAAAAATTTAAAGTAAAATTTAAGTACAGCCACACAAAATAAAATATGAGTTAGGTGTGTGCAAATTCTGCTAATGGTCACTGTAAAACAATAGAATATGTGCAAAATGGGCATAGGTGTATATACACAGACATGCACACTCTCACACCAGGGCCAGTCTTTTCCAGATTCCAATAAAGCTACCAGTATGTCTTTGGACCCAGGGAGGAAACTGGAGCACCCGGAGGATCCCACGTGAACATGGGGGGAACATACGGATTCCACAAAAACAGCACCCCAGGTCCAGCAGGGAACCCATGGGTGGCCATGCTTACCACGGTGGTACCATGCCTCTCTGGCACGGAGTCAGTTTTAAGTGTTGATTTCCACAACCTTGGCAGAATGTGGGTCCACATCCTGTACCACCGAGTTCCTGCTGTCTCCGAGGCCCAAGATTTCTCACTGAGGGGATTTTAATATTTGTCCTTGACGTTTTTTCCCCTCCGCCGACACATGTGATTGTGTTACAGCACTGACTGTAGCGGACCCTCCTAGAAGCAAAATAGCGTGGAGTACAGCGCGGAGACGACATGGTAAAATGACAGTAAAGTAGAGAGACGTGTGGTAATGAACGTGGGGAAACGATTGGAATACACACCTACACACCCCATGAGTACCTGTGGCGAACTTTCATCGGGATTTCCACAAAGCGAGACGAACGGAGAGGAGGGCGGACATGCGCCACCGACTCGGACCTTGAAATTAATTTTCCGCTCACGGCGTGGAATTCCCGGGATGCGAATTCGCAGCTGCGTGGCCTGGCCCGACTGATGCGGGGCGTTAGCTGTGGCGACTTCACGACCGCTTTACAGAAAAGCAATCGCTCTCTTTGTTTCCCCCTCCAGTGTAAGATATATCGTTATCAATAAGATCGATTGGATTCCCCTAGTGACGTTGTGTTCGTTTTTGTTTCTTTCTGTTCCTGAACGCGGTGCTGTTTATTCTCGTCAGCGACGGTCCTCTTTTATTTCATAGCACAAATATCCCAGATTTTTTTAAATTTATTTTATTTATTTTATCACGGTGCTGGGTCCAGAACTACCTTTTGACCACTTATATCCTATTAGTCCAATTTAAGAGGTGTGAGTTGGAGGTTCCTTGATTGGAATTAAATAAATCTGAAAACTGGGAAGGACGCCAAGCTATTGTGTCATAAGGCAGTCTGCCAAGGAGAAGCAGCTCATGTGGTTTCTAGTAGCTAATTGATCTGAGGATCTCCTCCAGCTGCTCCTGGAAAAAAATCCAGGGTATGGGCTCCGCCATATTTCTTTCTGAATCGGTTTCGTACCCGTGTTCCTATGAGGAATTTGAACACCGAGCGAGAACCCTAGCTGAGGAAGAGAGTTTAAAGGGCCCTGGATTTAGCTGCGACGTGGTGGACAGATCAGTCCCAGGAGGGGGCGCTGTTTCTGCAGAGTATCGCTCGCGTTTCATGGTTCGACAAGCGCGCCCGGCTGCGCAATGGGTAGACCCGAGTGGCGCTTAAGATAAAACCCTTTAAAAGCGAAAGTAGTGTTGCCCTCCGTTTGTTCTGAGGTATCAAAAAAACCCTCCAAAATCAGGACCAGAAAAAGTCAGTGGGGTATCCAGCCACTTAGCCATTTCGCCTGTCAGAGCCGGCCTTTTCCCCTCCACCGACACTTAGTGATTGTGTCACACCACCAAGCCTCATCTCTGGCTCCGCTATGGGGGCCCACTCTCCCCGTCTTTAAGATTATTGATTTGTACAAATAGGACTAGCTCTGTCGGTTTCCCATCAACGTTTGAGACCCCCCAACCGATTATCTCATTAACTGTCTCTTCCCTAAACTGACAATATGAGGTTTCTTCCACCTGAGTCCCATGTCTGGTCTTTTTTTTGGGGGGGGCAGTGGACCAGCAGACGTTTGTAGGCCTTAAAGCAGCGATTCCCAGCCCTGGTGACCCCCAGCCACACAATGAAACCCCTCATTGACTAAATCATAAGGCGATTATCGTGAACGGTTTGTTCCCAGCTCTAACTGTTTGTATTCTGCAAGTGGGATAAAAACCCGAACTTGTGACAAGAAACAAAATGCAAATATCTAAATGAAGCCATTTCCCCGCTCAAGCGCGGCTTCAGTTATCTAATGAAGGGGTAAGGAGATGAAAACCGGCAAGTGTGTGGGTCACAAGGAGCAGAACTGGACACCGCCGCATTAAGGCAAACAGGCCTCAGAATAAAGGATCAATTAGCTCAATTAAGGCTTAATTGGACCAGCTGTTCTTTTACTATGTTTTGTATTTTTTTATCGTTTGGCAACGAATGACATTTAGAGGTGTTCTCTTGCGTACAGACGGATAAGTGTTGCCAGTTGTCGGTTTGTAATCGGTTGTTCCCTCTTTGAAACGAAGAAACGCCACGACTTCATCGGAGACGTCAAATTGCTAATCCATCTCGCCACTGCCTGTTATGGCGTGGAAGAGCAGCGCACCTATGCACCGCGCCTCTAATCTTGTGGCTCCTGTAGTGTCGCTTTAACTCGCGGTTTCCGATCAAGCTGCCTTTTGGCTAGTCGACAATGGTGGCTTCTCCCTGTCCGCGGGTGACTGGCCTGCGTGCCTCGTTAGAGGCGCAGCCCGGTGGCGGGCTTGAGCTATCGGCGGGCTGCCAGCTCTGGAAAGGCACGGAACCTGCGGGGGCCACTTTCCTTGATTGATTCCAGTCCGCCGCCGCCGCCGGGAGCTCGGGTGAGTGAGTGCTTTCCTCGCTTTTTACCAAAAATGGTCAAGCAGGCTCGCCGAGGTGCAGGCATTCATCCCTCCCTCACAAACACAAGGACACTGATTTAAAAAAAAAAAGACTGCTCACAACCTTACTGTTCGGGAACGCGTCCAGCAGAAGAAGCCCGTGATATTTTCATCGCCTGACAGAGTAATGTAGCCTGTGAAGAATGGCTCCGGCTCGCCTTTGTAAAAGCCGCGTACTCTGCGTGTTACAGCGACTGCTGCCTCTGTGTTGAAGAACTGTTCCATCTATGTGAATCGCTGTCTGCCTGCTTCCTAAAACACGTTTCCTGCACCCATCATTCTTGCGATGCTTCTATTTATCTTTGTAGGTGGAATCTCTTTCCTCTGCATAATGCAAACTGTCAATCGGTTTCAGTCGGGCTATTTTTTAAATTTACAAAGTTAATTATTTTTTTAAAGGTATTGCATCTTGCAACTCTTTACCCGTGTCGCGGAAAAGCCCGAGACAACTTAATATGATTAAACAGTGAATGAAAACGCGGTTGAAGGTCCTTAAACGTCTTAGCTCTTACAGGCTGGAGTTCCTGGGTTTCGGTGATCTAAAGCCCAGTTTGTTAATTGTAGTTCTATACTGCTGGGGTGCGTTTTGCATGCGAGAACTTGAAACGTCGGGAGTGTCTCGGTCGGGTTGAAGGAGCCAGGCACAGAGACGATTGTCAACTAGGTTTTTCGGGACATCTTTGAAATCGACAAACACACGCACGTACTGTAGGGAACACGCGTGGAAAGGAGTTCTCCGAGCAATCAGAGCAAAGAGACATGAGGCATTCTTACACAGAGAGTTGATGGTGTCTGTAACGAAGGCTTTTTTAGGAAAAAGTTTAATGGGACTCTGAGCTCATTAATTGCGAGCTCATCGCTTGCAATTATCCCTTTCCTCTGAAAGGGATTTTCTTTTATGTTCTAATGATCTCTTCTTAACAGTTTATTAAACTCGTTCACGTTTTTTCAAAGTATCTCAATAAAC